GAGGGCAGGGGAATTAAATTTGGATCTGCTGAATCCCAGGGCAACAAAAAGGGGGAGAAGAAAGCATCCAAGCTTTCAAGACCATCAGGTCTCTTCATCAGGCAAACAGATTACATTTATAGAAAGGGGGTAAGGGAGTGGAATTTGGATCTCCTGAATCCCAGGGCGACACAAAGGGGCACAAGAAAATATGTAAGCTTTCAGGACCACCAGCTCTCTTAGTCAGTCAAATGGGTTACAGAAACAGAGCAGAGGAGTAGAATTTGGTTCTACCAAACCCAAGGGCAAAATGTAGGGGCAGAAGAAAGTGTGCAAGCTTTCAAGACCATCAGGTCTCTTATCCAGGCAAACAGGTTACACAAAAGAAGAGGAGTGGAATTTGGATCTCCTGAATCCTACTCCAATACAAAGAGGCACAAGAAAGTATGCAAGCTTTCAAAATCATCAGGTCTCTTCATCAGGCAAATAGGTTACACTTACAGAAAGGGGGCAAGGGAATGGGATTTGGATCTCCTGAATCTCAGTCCAACAAAAAGGGGATACAGGAAAGTATGCAAGCTTTTAAGAACATCAGGTCTCTTCACCGGGCGAATAGGTTACAGAAAGGGAGCAGGGGAGTGGAATTTGGATCTCCCAAATCCTAGTCAAACAAAGTGGCACAAGAATTTTAATTTTAATTTGTTGTATTTTTAATTGTAGATCGTTTTTAATTGAGATGTGATTTAATAACTTTTTAAGGGGGGGAATTATACTATTTTAAGCTGTATGTATTTTATTGTTGTACACCGCCCGGAAGCCACAGGGCGGTATATAAATAAAGTTTATTATTATTATTATTATTATTATTATTATTATTATTATGAAAGTATGCAAGCCTTCACGACCATCAGCTCTCTTCACTGGGTTAATAGGTTACAGAAAGGAGGCAGGGGAATGGAATTTGGATCTCCTGAATCCCACTCCAACACAAAGGGACACAAGAAAATATGCAAGCTTTCAAGACATCAAGTTTCTTAGTCAGGCAAATATGCTATAGAAAGGGGGCAGAGTGGAATTTAGGTCCCCAAATTCCACTCCAACACACAGGGTCACAAGAAAGTATGCAAGCTTTCAAGACCATCAGATCTCTTTGCCAGGCAAAGAGGTTACAGAAAGGATCTCCTGAATCCCAGGGCACAGGAAAGTATGCAAGCTTTCAGGACCATCAGGTCTCTTTGTCAAGGGCTATAGAAAGGGGGCAGAGGAGTAGAAGCAGGATCTCGTGAATCCCAACCTAACACAAAGGGGCACAAGAAAATATGTAAGCTTTCAAGAACATCAGGTCTCTTCCTCGGGGAGTCAGGTTACAGAAACAGGGCAGAGGAATGGAAGTTGGTTCTCCCAAACCCAAGGGCAAAATATAGGGACAGAAGAAAGTATGCAAGCTTTCAAGACCATCAGGTCTCTTTGCCAGGCAAACAAGTTACAGAAAGGGAGCAGGGGAGTGGAATTTGGATCTCCCAACATATAAAGCAGGGGTAGGCAACCTAAGGCCCGGGGGCCAGATGTGGCCCCCCAAGACCTTTGGACCGGCCCCAGGCCACCGCCACCGCCGCCTGCCATGATGATATTGATTATTGTTGTTATTACTTGTTCTTGGGGTTTTCTTGGCAAAATCTCCACAGGGGTTTTGCCATGGCTTTTCTGGGGCTGAGAGAGTGTGCATGCATATTTTTTTTTTAAATATATTTTTATTTATTTATTTATTTATTTTTGGTGCTTCGGCCCCCCCAATTGTCTGAGGGACAGCAACCCGGCCCCCGGCTCAAAAAGGTTGCCTACCCCTGATATAAAGGCACAAGAAAGTATGCAAGCTTCCAAGTCCATCAGGTCTCTTCATCAGGCAAAGATGTTACAGAAAGGGGGCAGTAGAATGAGATCTGGATCTCTCAAACCCCAAGGCATCATCACAAAGGGCCAGCAGAAAGTATGCAAGCTTTGGAGACCATCAGGTCTCTTTGTCAAGGAAAGGTGTTGTCCAAAAAAAAAAAAAATAATAATGGGGGGCATAGGAATAAGTTAAGGTTGGTAAGAAGAAATTATTTGGATCTTAAAAAGTCATCAGATTAGTCTTGAGATGCTGTGGAAAGAAGGCATTGCAGGCTCTCAAACTGGGCACCCTAGATGCTGGGTTTCAATCTGCAGCTGCTGGGGATGATGGGTGTTGTCTCCCTCTCCCAATGCCAACTCACTTTACAAATGCATATATGTCCTTTTATTTTGCAACTCACCTTCTTCTCTCTTGCAGATGATCTCCTCTTCCTCTTTTCCTCCTCCCTTTATTTTATTTTTGCTGCAGGGGAATTCAAACCCAAAACTCCTCCCCTGCTAGGAAAGCAACCTTGAGAGTTTGGTCCTCCACCAGCTCCTTAAGCCTCTCTAGGCAAATCTGCCTCTATGGCTTTAATCCCCCTTTTTTTGCACACAGCGCCGCCTAAAGGCCAAGGTTGAGTACTGCACTTGTGGCTAATTGTGGCTGATTTTGTCAAAACTGTTGAATTTTGTGTACCTAACATTTAGATTGAAAGATAAGTCTGAAGAAAAAAAAATATGTAAAAGAATGGAGTAAGATGAGAGAGTACTTTTAAAAAAAAATAAGTGGAGGAGAGAACAGTGGAATAAATTTCTAATAAAAAAATAACAATCCTAAAATAATTGGAAATAATTATTCTAGGCTAAAATGTTAATATTTATTTATTGGAAATATGTAATCGTATTCAGAAGATAGACATAGATAAAACAAGAAATATACAATGCTTACAATGGAATAATAGAAATTATAAGAATATAAAATAGAATATATAGGATCTATATCTATATATCTATATCTATATCTATATACAATGGAATAATAGAATTTATAAGAATATAAAATAGAATATATAGGATCTATATCTATATATTTATATCTGTATCTATATACAATGGAATAATAGAATTTATAAGAATATAAAATGGAATATATAGGATCTATATCTATATATCTATATCTATATACAATGGAATAATAGAATTTATAAGAATATGAAATAGAATATATAGGATCTATATCTATATATTTATATCTATATCTAT